ATTTTATTTATTTATTTGACAGAGAGAGAGAGACAGCAAGAGAGGGAACACAAGCAGGGGGAGTGTGAGATGGAGAAGCAGGCTCCCCTCTGATCAGGGAGCCTGATGTGGGGCTCGATCCCAGGTCCCTGGGATCAAGACCTGAGCCGAAAGCAGACGCCCAACGACTGAGCCACCCAGGCGCCCTAAATGGTAACTGCTGATATCCTCAGTCATCAGCCTTCCTGCGACAGGCTTGTGGGGCCGGGCCTGGGCATGGGCCTCCCCCTGAGGAGCGAAGGTGGCTGTGGGAAGCTAAGGGGAAGAAACCTAGCATGGGTCAGAGAGAAGCGGGGTGAATACCAGGAGGGACTGGTTGAGGGTTGGACTGAACGAGGCTTTACGTGGAGGTAGAGATAGCGAGACAATGCCGTGCCAAGTCACCGACCTGGTCTGTGTGTCACTCCCTGGAAAGCGGGAAGCCCAAGCGTCCTTACTCCTGTTACCCTAGCCCCACAAGGTGGGAGGTGAAGGAGAACATTCCTGTCACTGTCCAGAGCTAAAGCTTCATTCTGCAAAACGGCCAAAGCATTCAGAAGTGATGGAGTAGCTCTTAAAAAGAAACCTGGCATTTAATTAACTTTTCCAAGTGCTGGTTCAGCAACCTCTGTGTTTTACATTTTGAATATTGAACAAGCATCTCTAATTGGATCTGAACCGCTTCTGGGCCTGCCAGCCTGGAGAGCACCTGCTTCGGTTTTACGAACACCATGGAATCTTGTCTGAATTTCGGGGAAGCCAACTCAGGATTGCTCAGGAATGGAGGCTACAGTCTGTGAAGCGTTTCTTCCCTTCCCTCAGCCTTTCGGTCAAGTCAGAGCTAATTAACATTTTGGTTAGAAAGAAGTGGGCAACTCGGCAGGATAGGGCAGCAAGGTTTCCATTTTGCTGCTTAGTACCCATAGTTCACCTTACTATCTGCAATGAGGTGTAAGGCCTTGATTCTCTTATCTGACTGGGTCCCATTTCTAGAGATTACTACCTCAGAGGGCCTGGGGTGAGGCCCAGCACAGAGACACTGAAAAAAGCTCCATGATGCTGTTGTGCACCAGTTGTTAAGAACTATTGGTTTAAAGGATTCTCCACGGCAGTTCTCTGTACATTCTATTGCCTTCTGTAAGTGTGGGAAGTCAGGAATGGGCCGTTTGCACAGTAAATCCAAACAGATGTCTGGGTGCCCTGGGGACGTCTGAAAATCATCGGGTAGCTGCTTTTGAGAAGGCTTGGGGCAGTGTGTCTGGAATCCGGGGTGGCAGTCGGGAGATGGGGCTTCTTGCCGCAGCCTCGTTACTCGTAGCTCGGTGATTTGGATGAAGCACACACTGAAGTGCCCCATGGCCCTGTCTGTCACATCGTGTCTCTGAAACCTGCGTTGCCTCTTTTCCAAAGCTAGGCTGAGCTCGTGGCAGTTGCCAGACAGGAGGGGGAAGAAACCGGCAGAGTGCTCCACCTGCGTAAGGTGGCGTCCCCCGGGTTGTTACGATTGTCAGGTTCCCAGCCCCCCTCCCCCCAGTAGCCACTTCTGAGGAAGAAGGCGCGTGGGCGGGGGGTGTAGTAGGAGACCAGAAGCCCAGGGCAGAGCTGACTGCAGCCCTGTAGACAGCCTGCCCTGGGCCTGGACCAGGTCGCGGTGTTTCCTCAGAAGTATGTCTGTGAGGAGGAGATGAGCCAGAACCCACAATCCTCTACCTCACGGTCTGTGGGGGGCAGGACTTCGGCCCAAATCCTTCTTTAGTTACCTACCCTCTTGAGCTACCATAGACCGCTGTATTTTGTTTCTGTTTTGTTTTTAACCTGTCACCAACAATTTAAAAATGTACTCTATGTCATGACTGGATATGTCTGTATATAAAATGGGGGGAAAGTCTATGTAATACTTACCCTTACTATTTGCAGGATACTCTCTTTTCTATTCTACTTTACGCTATTAAAAAACAAAAAGAGGGGCGCCTGGGTGGTTCAATCGATTAATCATCCGTCTCTTGATCTTGGTTCGGGTCATGATCTCAGGGTCATGAGATTGAGCCCCATGTTGGGCTCCACGCTCAGTAGGGAATCTGCTTGAGATTCTCTCTCTCCCTCTCCCTTGACCCCTCCCCCGCTCTCTCGTGCTCTCTCTCTGAAGATAAATAAAGAAAAAGGAAAAGACAAGGAAGGCTGGTGGTGAGCCGCTAAATTGATTCCATGACTCACCGTGGGTCATGACCTTAGTTTGAAAATCACTGTGCTCCATTCTGTGTCCTTGTGCTGGGCTCTGACATTGTGTGACTTGAGGTAGCCGTGGAGACCAGGCAGGTACAAGACATCTGTGAAGTAGGGTTTTATTTCAGAATAACACCTTCAATCATGTTACTGAGATGCACATACAGATTAGTTAGTTGCATATTCGCATTTCTCTAAAGACATGTACTCTGCCAATTCTCCCAAAACCTGCTTCCCACTTAGCCTTCCTTTTGCTTCCCTTGCTTTTGGTAGCTGCGAAGCTACAGGCAATACTTCACTTGCCTCTTAATTTCCACTGTAAGAGAGCCAGCATTGCAGAGTGAAGGATAAAGGGCTTCTACGGGCCCCCCAGTGTCAGGAAGGGCTGGGAGCTCAGGCTCATCCCAGCCACGCTCCACTTACACAGAGTTTTCCATGTGGGAATGCCGGTCCAGTTTACAGGCTTTGTGTTTGAAGAATCCAGAAGTCCAGATTTTTGTACAGAATCTCCCAATTTGGGCAACAAATTCATGTTAAAACCAAACCAAAACAAAACAAAACAAACCAGCAGTGTGGTCCCCACAAATGGACATGCTTGCTAGACAAGGCTGGAAAATGCTCAGCTTTATCAAAGACAGGGCGTTCCATGGCCAGTTCTCCAGGGCCTTGCCCAAGTTCCCACTGGACTTCCCATCTCCTGAGCAGAAGGCTTGCCCAGAATCTGCTATTTCTGGCAGAGAGTGAGAGAAAATGGAAGAGAATGGGAGAACATGCCACCTGAGGGCATCCCCACCTCTGACCTTGAGGGCTCCATTTTGATCTTGCTCCTTGTCGTGGGGTGAAATGAAATTTGGGAGGGTCCTTGGGCTCCCCTGGAGCGAGAGAGAGGAGAACATGAGCTCTGCAGCAATTGTGCTGAATGTGAAACTCATCCCCGTTTTAGATGTTGATGGCAGTTAATCAGCCTGCCCCGGAAGATTAGCATTGCCATTGTTTCCTTCAGACAAAATCACTGCTACTCTGGCCATGGCCCATCGCTTAGGAAGAAACGATGCAGTCACAACTCCTAAAGGTGATCAGGGATGCTATGTCTCTTACGTACAAAATGCAGGTGCCTTAATCACCTCGTTCTTCTCGGACGCTGTAGTCACCCGAGCCCTCCTGCCGTTGGGGACATATTACCAAGGCATTTGGATGGTGGGTTTGTAGAGTTCAGCTTCACCGGGACAATTAGAGGCAGTGGTCCTGGGGGGCAGACGTGAGCTGGGAGCAGAGCTTTCTGCCCTCCCACACAGGCAGAGGTGGCTTTGGCAGCTGTTAGGATTTTCTTGACTTAGAACAGTACTGGGAACCAGTATCATCCAGCAACAGCTCTGTGGTGATGCCTCCGGCACCCCGCTGCAGGTTGCCTGTGGTGCCTCCTCCTGCCTGTCTGTCCCACTTGCCCTCCTCCCCCGACTTGCTTCATCTCTTTACTGTCCTGTGAAGAGGCAAAAACTGCAGCCTGGGAGATCCTCCTCAGAGTTGTTCCATCCTGTTCTTCCAGCTTTAGCTACCCATTCTCTTCTCCCTCCCAACAGAAGCCAAAATTCTGCTCCCCCCTTAACAGTGCAGTTGGTGTGGTCTGAATTTCATGGACCCTAGTTTATTTAAACTGGGGCTTAATTTCAGATTATACTCAGAGAGGGGGAGTGGTTGTTTGCATTTTGCAGGAATTGCTGGTTGGTTCCGATGTCGCTCTGCTGACTGACAAGGCTAGCGGGCTCCGCACTGTCGAAGGCCTTCTCATGCACCCCAGCTCCTGGCCATTAAGACACTGCCTCCACCCTTTGCCCGTGATTTTCGTGGTGATTGACTTCTGTCTTGAAAGAATTCATTAAAAAACCAACCAACTAACCAACAAAATCTATTGTGGAAATTTTCAGACATACAGAAAAGTAATCAACATGTACCCAACACCCAACTTTAATAAATTGTCAGTGTTTGGTCAGTCTCATTTAGACTTTAGATCCGTGTTTCTCAGAGGGTCAGTAGTGACAACCTTACAGTAGGATTACCTAGGGATTTGTTTAAAATGCGCAATCCCAGACTCCCTTTCCCCCAGACCTGCTGATCCAGAAAGCTGTCTCTGCCAGGTCCAGCAATCTACATGTCTACCAAGCTTCTCAGATGGTTCTTATGCACATTGAAGATTGAGAACCACAGCCTTAGATAAATGTCTATATATAATTAGGCTTCCTGTTCTCATGGAACGTCTGAAGGGCAGTACCTGCCCAGCATCACTCATGGGGTCTTCTGGTCCTTCAAGTGGAGGCTGCAGAAAGGTCCAGAGCCTACAGCTTGAACTGCATGGTCAGTCCATCTCTTTTTACTACTGGGAAGCTGCACATGCTAACAACTAAAGCTCCAAGTAAGACCCGAGGCCTCAGTCCTAAGAAAGTGCTCTATAAATTGGTCCGTTAATTGTTGAAAGGAGGGAATTATGTCATCTATATCCATTTGAGTTCTGAACTTCCCCATCTGCGCTTAAACTCAATGATTTAAGTTGGAGTTACAGTGAAATAAGACTATAAGTAGGCATTGTGATGTCTGTAATTCTCTCATGCTGGTTATGGGCCTTGCTCTAGAAAGAGAAATCCAGGTCAGTAAAGCACTTGGAATATGCTAATTTGCCCTCACTTTTGAAATCCCCTCTCCAACGTATACCCCCATGCACGAGATTAACAGGTTCTTATAAACCTTGTTTTTCTTTTTTTCAGGTCAGGAAGGAGGGCTTCTGAAGAAATAGAAGAGTATGTTTCCAGCTTTCTTTCTTTTTTTTTTTTTTAAAGATTTTATTTATTTTATTTGAGAGAGAGAATGAGATAGAGCATGAGAAGGGGGAGGGTCAGAGGGAGAAGCAGACCCCCCGCTGAGCAGGGAGCCCGATGCGGGACTCGATCCCGGGACTCCAGGATCATGACCTGAGCCGAAGGCAGTCGCTTAACCAACTGAGCCACCCAGGCGCCCTGTTTCCAGCTTTCTTATTCATCCTTTGGTGACCTTTGCTAGCAGTGCAGCTTTGGTGGTCATTATCTGTTCAGCCTTTGTTGGACTCAGCATTTGAAAGCAGAATGAGCCTGGCTTTTTGTCTGGGCCTTTAGTGATGCACACTGAATCCAGGGTTCAGTTAATGCTGTTTCCTTAGCTGAAGGTCTGGACCCTGGCATTAATATCCATGTCCTTCTCCCACCCTGTGGTTTTTAGAACCGTATGTCCAGGTATCAGAGTGCTGACCCCTGGATTCTTCTTTATTGATTCAGATGGGCAGAAACAATACCAGCCTTCTAAACCTAACCTTCTCCTAAGATTTGTATCAGAAAGGAAAATAAAAGGTTTCTAGGTAAAGATAGAATGTAAAGGCAGGGCCAGTGAATTTCACCACCCCCCGGGGGTGAGAGGAGCATTCGTATCATAGTCTGTAGAATGGTGCACCGCATGCCTTGTGCGACCATATCTGGCAGACCCAAGTGCCTAAATAGGTTTGACCAAGTTGATGGAGGAAAATGGGTCCAGAGACCATCTAGGAGAAACAATAGATACAATAATGATTTGGGTGGTTTCTTCCTACGTGTGAAATTCATTTTCTTTCCTTTCCTTCTTTTTGGGGGCAGTCACCGCCTCAGACAGCAGAGCTTGGATGGATCAGATGATGGAGGAGGTAAGATGTGTTTGGAGCCGGAGAGACTCCACGGCCCCCAGAGCCTTTCCTGGGCCGCAGCTAAGGCCCTGTTGGCCGCAGCCTTCCTGGGAGGCAGTGGCCCCCTACCGTCTCATCTCTGTGCCTTGCTGAGCGCTGCATCTGCCTGGAGGACCTCACCCCCGTGGCTGTCTGCCAGCCCTGCTTGTCTTCACAACTCTGCTGAAGCATCTCCTCCCCTGAAAGGTCTTCCCTTCCCACCCACTCCCTCTCTGACTCTGATGTTTCTTCCCTGTGCTCCCAGGCTCCCTGGGCTAACCTCCAATATAACAACAGCAACACTAGCTAATACCTGTTAGGTGTTTATTATATACCAGGCACTTGATATACTGTCCTACCCGTTTATATTATGTTAAAGCATTTAATCATCACAGTAACCCCATGAGTTAGTACTATTGTCCCATTCTACAGTTGAGGAGACTAAAGCACAGGGAGGTTAAGTAAGGTTTTTCCAGTTCACTGTAAACTCTGTGCTCCAGTGTGGATAGTTTCTACTGCTGTGTAAATGCTCTTTTCTTCTACAAAGTCTAATCTGCCATTAAGACCACTCAGTGAATTTGTTCTTTCAGAGACTGTATTTTTCAGCTCTAGAAGCTCCATTCGGTTCCGTGTCTTCCATTCATCTCCTTCTTTTGATCGTGTTTTGCTTCATCCTTGATGGTAGCCTTTATGTAGCTGTTATAAAGCCCTTTTCTGCCAATTCTGTCATCTCTCTGTTTCCTGTGTCTCCACCGACTGATTTTTCTTCTGGTTACAAGTTCTATTTTTTCTGCTTCTTTACATGATTAGTAGTTTTTGATTGGATGCTGGTCATTGTGAACGTTACTATGTTGAGTGTCTGGATCTTGTTGTCTTTCTTTAAAGAATAGTACATTCTTTAAAGAAAAATATATCTGTTTTAGTAGGCAGTTAATGTGTTTGTTGGTCAACTCAATCATTTTGAGAATTGTTTTTAAGCTTTATTAGGGCAAATCTAGAGTTCACCCTAAACATTAAGATACTCAGGTGTCCCTGCCTGGTGGTTCAACAAGGACTCTCCACTCTGCCTGAGTGGAGCTGAGCCTCTTCCAGTTCTTTATAAGCTGTGGGGATGGTTCAGGTTCACTTCACACCTTCTTGGTAGTAATTCTTTGCCCAGCTGTGTGGAGTTTGACCCTATACACACACAGCTTAGAATGCAGTCCCTCTAGGGGCGCCTGGGTGGCTCAGTCGGTTAAGCGTCTGACTCTTGATTTTGGCTCAGGTCATGATCTCAGGGTCATAAGATCGAGCCCCACGTTGGGCTCCGCACCGGGCATGGAGCCTGCTTGAAATTCTCTTCCTACCTCTCCACCTCCCCTACATGTACTTTAAAAAAAAAAAAAAAAAGTGCAGCCGATCTAGATTTCCGCCCCCTTCTGCCAAATAGTGCCTCTCTCATCCTCTGCTTCTCAAATTCCAGCCACCTTAGCCTACCTACACTTTGACCTCTGCCTCCTCAACCCAGTGAGATCTCCATGCTCCACTAGGGGTTTCCCCTCTTTGGACCAGAGTCCAGGAAGTGTACATCTAAGCAGAAAGCCAGGGTTGACAGTAAGGCTCACTTCATTTCCCTCCTCTCAGGGATCCCCGTCCTGCGCTACCTATTGTCCACTGTCTGCACACAGCTGTTTCTTCCATTATTTCCAGTTTCCTGCTTGTTCCCAGCAGGAATCCAGTGCTGGTTACTGCCTCATGGCTGGAGGTGGCGCCCCAAAGCTTTCAGTAACTAACCTTTGCGTGTGACCACAAAGCAAAGGGGAGCATTAAATCTAGAAAGCTTAGACTGTGACCCATACCGTTAGCTGCCTCACAGGCTTATGCGACATGAGAACTGCTGGGATGGTGATAGAAACACGGACTCCCAGCCACCAGCAATCAGAAGCTGGAGTTGGGGCCCAGAGATCTGGATTGACTTAAATACGCTCCCTGGATGAATATTCTGCATGCTGGAGCTTGTCAAGCGTGCTGCAGTGCCGCTAAAGTTAGGACTGAGGGCAGGAGAGGACAGGAATCATGAAAACGTACTGCCTCATCTCATTCCAAAGGGGTTTTCGGGTAGAAAGGTAGTCACTGGAGGTCAGGAGTTGAGCCTCCGCTCTGAGATTTAGTAAGAGCTCATGAGCACAGCTTCATCATTCTTCAGCATTTGTCTTTGCTTTTCCTATTCTTTCTTATTGACAAGCTCATTTTGTTTTACCAGATCTTCCTCCTTAGCTCTACTCACTAAACTCCTTGTAGCCGCCGAACCCGTCCACCCACTAAGAATTCCCAGTGACCCTGTGAACTCAGAGTCCAAGTCTCTTTCCCCACACATGTCCCCGGGATGCCTCGTGCCACCGCGTGGTGGCTCAGTGATTGCTGGCTGCTGGCTACACTTTTGACTTGCCCGTCCTCACAGACTGTTGCTCCAGCCATTGGTTGCCTAGGACGGCAGGGTAACCATCCAGGAGGGTGTGCCAAAGGACTCAAGGAGGCAGGGGCCCTGCTGGACATTGACAAAGCCCTTAGGTGCAGGGAGATGATGATGCTGCCCATTCTGAGGTGCTCATTAAATTCCTGGTCTCCAGAAAGTTTGCTCAGCTGGTATCCTCTCCAGGCCTCTCCCCACCCTACCTGGAACCTCTTTCTAACTCCTTTCAACGGACTTCTGAAATCCTCCTTTTCCCATTTTTTGCAGTGTGTGAAAATGCTACATTTCAAGGAGTAACTGTTAAATGTTCCAGCAAAACCTTCTGAATGCCAGAGTGAACACACATTCTAGATGTGTGTTAGCAGAAGGTTGGGCCGGCTGCTATGGCGGCAACTCTGTCGGCCATCTTGTGTGAGCCCCTCATTGGCCATGTTAACAGCATCGAAGCTTCGAGATCATTATCCAAAAAGCAGGACTCAGAGGAGAACTCTGGTCTTCTGACTCACAAGAGATCTCTGTGCCTCATACCCCACGCACACCAACATCACTGCCATCTCCGCGCATCACCAAACTCATTTAGTTCTCAAAACAAACCTATGGAAAAGTTTTTAAAAATCAACTTTATTGAGGTCGAATTTACACACAATAAACTGAATCCATTTAAAGCTCAGCATTTGAGTTTTGACAGATGTATATGCCTGGTGGAACCGCCACCACAGTCAATACATAGAACTTTCCATCTCCCCTCCAAACTTTCTCAGGCCCTTTCCAGTCAGTCCTTCCTCTGCCCCTGTCTCTAGGCAACTACTGAGTCTCTTTGTTGTCACTATGCAGTGGTTTGCACTTTGTGGAGCTTTATGTAAGTTGAAGTGTATGTACGTATGCTTTTCTGTCTGGCTTTTTTCACTTACGGTAAATGATTTTGAGTTTATCCAGGTTGTTGTATATGTCATTAGCCTGTTTCATTTATTGATGAGTAGTATTCCAGTGTATGGACAGACCACATTCCGTTATGTATTCACCTGGTAATGGACATATGGATCGTTCATTATCCCCATTTTAAAGATGAGCAGACAAAGGCAAAGAAAAATAACCTTGCCAAAGGTCACACGATGAGTGACAACACTTGGAAGGCACCTCTGCTCACCACTACCCCACTGATGCCACACAGCCCAGCGCCAGGATTTGAATACAGACCTTGACACCAGAGTCCTTGCTCCTGGCCTCTGGGCTGTAACAAACAGTACGACCCTCAGCTCTGTTGGCATCTCCTTCCACAGGTGGGTTGTGTTAATGTCAGCTCTCATGTTTGTAATATAGCGTGCCTAGCATAATTGATAGGATGCTTAATACAATTCCATTAAGGAAGGAGAGAGGAAAGATAACTATTTTCAGAGAATACCTCTAGTATTTTTTTCCCCTTCATAAACTTGAAGTGTGAAATTAGTGATTTGGCCTTTATTTTGGCTCTGGAGGTTTGACGCGTAAAACCCTTTCTTGTCAGAGTGCACTTGATTTTACCTTCTAGGAGGGAGGATGCCTCTCCCCAGGCATAAATCTGTTTTCCATGCAGCTATGCCTGAGTCCTTTAATGGAAAATCAGTTCATATGTTACACTTCACACTTGACTTCGTCCATTTCACTATACGTGAATGTTTAGAATCCATTATGCGGTAGGAATCATATGTTACATATAACTAGTTTCTAGAATTATCTTTGCTCAGAGAATTACTTGGTTGGCTAGCGAAGGCTGCTCCTTTGAACTTAGAATAACCAGTAGGTGGGGACGCTCCATGAATGATTGCCCTGAATCATCCAAGGAGGCCCATTCAGCAATGACATGAAGCAGATCTTTGGGCACCTGTGAGGGAACCTACTGGTGCCCTTAATAAAATCACACCCAAGTTCTTCAAGGTTGTCAAGTACGAGGAGCGTTGTCCCCTGGGAAGGGGCTGCTAGTTTCCATGTACTTGGTCGGGGTGGTGATCGGTGAGCAATCCCGAAAGAGAATGTATCTTGGGGACAAGAAGTGAGAATCCAAGGATTAGGGCCCCCTCCCGGCAGGTAGTCTCTTTCTACCACCAGTCTTAGAGGTTAGATTTTATTGAGGAAAGCCAGCAGGTGTTCAGACAGTGCCCCCTGTGGCCACAGCTCCTCCAGATGCTGGAGACAGTGGCAAGTAAGACAGCCCTGGCCCTCCGAGAGACTCTGATGTAGTGAGAGAGGCCCCCTCCTTCCCCTCCCCGTCTTGTATAGGAAACTTTCAGGAGCCATGTCTCTCAGATCTGTTTCTCAGCAGTCAGCCTCCCAAGCTTCACTCTTGGCACATACTCTCCTTCTTCCATGGGGAAGATGCCCAGGGAGAGAAGAGAAGCACTCCTTCCCCTCCATCGATGCCTCAGGCTTCCAAGGGAAGAGAACAGAAAAGTAGAAGAAGGAAAAGGCTTTTAGGATAGATGTGTTTTTAGAAGGAGAAATGGAAGTGATTGACATTTGGAGGTGGTTTTGGAGTCTGTTGGTTAACTAGAAG